GATCCCACATATGAGGGCCAGTGACACTGCCCTCCACAGCTAAGATGCTGAACAACAGCTCAACCTGGAGCTGGGCTGCTGTGAGTCCCCGGCAAGGGCCACTGCGTGGGCTGCAGCCCCTGCTGCAGTGGGTTGCCATGGGCGACCATGTGTAGCCAGCAGCCGCCGTGAGCGGCTGTCCAGAAGCCCGCGACTGATCTGCCTTGCCCGGGAAGAGCGCAATGATGATGCCAACTTGGGCCAGTGAAGCAACGTCCTCCAACAGCTAGACTGAAGAACAAAAGGACAGGAACTTGTCTTTTCCCTTCCCCCCAATTCCCCAGCACTGTTCCCATCCCCCAATTTCCCAATAAAAATCTTTAAAGAAATAAAAAATAAATAAAATAAAATGACTTATGGCATCAAGAAAGATAAAAATTCTAAACAAACTTTTTAGTTTTTGAAATTACTCAAGTATGATTTAGCTGAATTCTATTTCTGTTTTTCTATTGCAGATTTCTCAACAGTGATGTCACAAGACTGACCACATTGATCACAGTAAGACCAAAATGATAATTAAGCTTTTAGGAGTGTTATTTTGTCTGAGAATGAGAACTGAGTTAGAAAGTATTTATAATTTTTAATTATTATTTGTTCTTTCAACAGCCAGTTGAATGTTTACATTTTCAATGAATCATCTCACACTTCTAATTATTTAAATACTTTAAAAATATTGCTTTAAATGATTTAAAAACAAAATTTAAAATGAGAATTACTTTTAATTTATAACTGAAATTATATACCTAATTATATATTAACATTTCAGTGTGAATTATAATCTGAACATCATTTTAGTTTGTTTGTTTTTGTTTTTGTTTTTACTGAAAAATGTCAAAACATTTAAGGGGATTTCATACTAGGAAAAAATTGTAAAAATAAAATTAACTTGAGACTAAAATCACTTATTAAGGAAAGACTGTGAAAAAAGCATTATTAGGCTTTTTGCTTACATTTTTTATTGATATTTACGTGATTTATAAAGAATCTATATGGAGAGTTGTTGAAAAAGGGTATCTCTTAAGTAACTGATACTTTTCCTCTTTAATTTTATTTAAAATATTAATTTCTACTGTGTATAAGGACATATGTTGAAGAAAACCTTTATGTAAGGCCTTGATCCTCATTATTATAAAATTCCAACTAGTTAAAATAATCTCAATTTCAGTAATGAAATTTTATAGCATTTTTGAAAAATCCTATTAAAAAATGGAGAAATAAGTTTAGAGTAAATTATTTACTCAATGAGTCTGCTTCTTTAATCTTGTTTTTGTTGTTTATTAAGTATAAAAGCTATAATTATCAGAAATGTAAATTTATATGTAATCTTTTTAATTTTTCAGTTACAGTTGACATTCAGTATTATTTTATATTAGTTTCAGGTGTACAGCATAGTGGTTAGACATTTATATAAGTTATGAAGTGACTGATCCCCCTAACTAGTCTTAGAACCTTCCTGGCACTATACATAGTTATTACAATATTACTGACTATATTCCCTATGCTATACTTTATATCCTTGTGGTATATAGATAATCTTTGTATTTATGCTTTAACATTGTTTGGAAAGCTGGTTCATTTATTAGGTTTAACACTTTTTAGAGGCCAGAGAAAACTTTTATTGTGTTTTTAAAGTCTTTATCATTATCATTGAGTCTACAGATGTTTATGGTATGTTTCATTTATTTTCCTAAGGGAGCATTTTAGCTCTCTGATTTGTAGCTCTTTGCTTGTTTGTTTTTTCTTAATCAGCACTTTATTGCCCTAATTGAATAGTTTACATTAAAATATTTATGTAGTAACCTTCTCTTTATTATTTGGTGCTTTTTTTTTTACAATCAAGGAAGTTTAAAATTAGCATTGGATGACAAAGGTAGTTTTTTAAATTTAAAAATGCTGACCCTCACAGTACATTTAAAGGTAATAGAGATAATTTAATTGCAACTGTTCTAAATTCACGAATTTCAGAAAGACAGGTGGTGTTCAATATTATCAGATGTTAAATAAGTTAAAGTCTAAGAAGTATTCATCCGAGAGGTTCATAAGTGACTGATAACAAAAACCCTTACTTTGTAATAAGGTCAGGGTTGTGAGGCTTTCTCCATCCTCCTGAGTGAAGAAGTGAGGGTAGATTTTAACTCTGATTCAGGTTTAGGATGCTATTGAGAGAGTAGTTCAAGTGTTGACCACATAGGGCTAGAATAAAGTGAGGCCAAAGAAGGTCTGATATTTTCAGAGAAAATGGAGAGGATAAGGGACTAATCCAAGGTAGAGAAGCTGGTGAAATGAGATGAAAAAGTAAGAGCCCAAAGGGTAGAGTGTTGTGGTTAGGAGGGGGATGTTATAGATTGTTTCAGAGCTGAAGCTGTAGTATTTACTTTTTATATATTACATATATTTTTTTTCATCAGGAATTTTCAGAACTCAAGAGAATTTCTATTTTTTTCCCCTAAGGGACAATCCACAGAATGTCAAAATTTTCTAACTGACCTTCCTTCTTTCTGACCATTATCAATTCCACTGAAGCCTATACACGATCCTCACTTTAATATTATTAAAGCATTGCTCCGATTCTTTTATGTCTCTACTTGAAGATGTTTAGTAACTTCTCATTTCCTACAAGGTCAAATACAGACTGTCTAACTTGGTATTCAAGATCCCTCATCAGTTTGGTTCTAACATATTTCCCAGCCAAATATCCTACTGTTCAAGGAAAAGAATCCTACCCGGTACCCGATGTAGACTGCATACCCCACCTTGAATATACATTTTGGCTCCATACTTGCATTTGTGTAGTTCCCTTTCCCTAGAATACTCTTTTTTCTTTCCGGGCTTTTATTTCTTCTGATGATATCAAACCTCCTCTCTAATGCCCTGTCCACATGTAATCATCCCTCTGAGGCCTTTCCTGATCATCCTGATTGAAAATGACCCTCTCTCCCTAGTAGTTTGGTAATGCTTAATTTTTAGTATTCCTATGTTATATGTTATTGATAACCTCATATTTTGCATATCTGAATACATGTTTTCCAACTGTACTCAGCAAATGAGTATTCAGCAGATATTTGCTAGTAATCATAAATACCCCAGAAATAACTAAATTAATTAGTATCTTTAGTTTTCATATATTAAAACTGAAATAAATATATTAATATATGAAGATTCAAAATTGAACCAATAGGAAGCAGGGTGGGTAGGAAACTCATAGGTTTTAGAATCAGAGAGAGTTCAAGTACTCAGGCCACTGCATCCTAGGTATTTGATATTTAGTAAGTCAGCCTAGTGTGTCTCAGTATCTTCACCTGTAAAATGATATATTACATATGTTAAAAGGGTTGTTATAAGATTTAAATGTTATGTGTTAGTTACCTTTTCCCCCCCTTACTTGTTTGACTATATGGCTTGCTCCTTTACAAATATGCAAAGGAGCATGAAATCGCTCATAAAGATCAAAAATATATCCCAAACATCCAAATTCACCTTACTTACACACTGTGTTCTTTTAATCTGTAAGTTTTAACAAAGAGATTTCTATTGCCTACATTAAATATATTAATGATAAATTTATTGACTTTTATAAGTTCCAGCAAGGAGGCTAACTAGATCTATTGATATAATGTGCTTAATTATTTGGGGAAAGCAGGTCAGACCTCACTAGAATGCCAACATCTTAAAAGGCCAGAATGAATTTTAAAACAGATTACATTGTGCTACGTTTCTCTTACATAACAGATGAGAAAACAGAGGTCCCGAGAGTTTGAAGGAAATCATATGCATAATGGTTAAGAACTGGGGTCAGAAAAATCTTTTAAGTTTTGCTCTGATATTTATATAGCTGTTGTGATCGTGAGTCAATTAAATAGTCTCAGATCCAGTTTTGTGCTCTCTAAAGCAGAGATAATATTTATATATCAGGAGTGTTGTGACTAGTAAATGAAATAATGTTTGTAAAACACAGCACAGAGGCTGACACATACAAAATTATTTTAACCCCTCATCATAGTCATCATCATCATCTGTAAAGTTACTTGCCCAAAGTCACATAGTGTGAGATCTTGGCCGAAACCTGGTTTTGCTGTATCCCATTATAATTTATACTCTTCTGTTTTGTGATCACCTCTTACTTGATTCAAAATCTCTAAAGAGTATGTGTAGGAAGTATAATAAAATAGGACATAGATTTTTCCTTTTCAAATCTCCCCAAATCCTGTCTTCTCTGAGAGTATTCATGCAATTTCACTTACATGCAGTTTTGTTTATATGTGATTTTATTAACACAGTGGCTATATTTTATTTTTAAATATTCTTATTTAATGTTTTACTACATATGAAGCAACTTATAAAATAAAGTGGCTTTTCTGTTTTTATTAAAATTCCTTTTTTCCTCTTGATAATTTTATTATGAATATTACTTAAAATTTTAGACAATAATCTATACCAATAGAAACATATCTTAAAACTTAAAATTTAGAAGGAATTACTATATAATTTTATAATGTACACATTAGTAGAAATATTAATGTTTGATAGTCAACTTTCAAGTGCTTAATTATGTACCAGGCACCCCTTTATCAGATTATTGTTTTAATTTATTTCTGCTGCACTGCTTCTCTTTATGCCATAGTGCTAGGTGCTATTACTATTTATCCCATTTATTTCATTTATCTGGAAATGTCTCAATTTCTCCTTCATTTTAAAAGTATAGTTTTGTCAGATATAGAATACTTGGTTGACCGTTGTTTTTCTTTTAGCACTTAACAAATATAATTTCACTACCTTCTGACCTCCATGCTTTCTAATGAGAAATTGGCTGTTAATTTTATTTGGGTTTTTGTACATGACAAAGTTGCTTGTCTTGCTGCTTTCAAGATTCTCTCTTAGTCTTTTAAGTTTGACTATAGTGCGTCTCAGTGTGATTCTCTGAGTTTATCCTACTTGGAGTACACTGAGCTTGTTAGATGTGTAGATTCATGGTTTTCCCCAAATTTGGAATGCATTCAGCCATTATTTCTTCAAATATTGTTTCTGCCCCTTTCTTTCTTCTTCTTTTGAGACACCCATAAGGCATATGTTGGTACTTTTGATGGTATCACACAGATTCCACAGGCTCTGTTCACTTTTATTTATTTTTTCTTTCTGATCTTCAGACGGGATAATCTCAATTGATCCGTCTTCAAGTTGGCTAGTTCTTTCTTCGACCTGCTCAAATTTGATGTTGGACCCTTTAGCGACTTTGTCATTTCAGTTATTGTACTTTTTATCTTCAAAATTTCTACTTAGTTTCTTTCTACAATTTATATCTTTTTATTGACGTTTCATTTTATTTGTATATTGTTTTCCTGGCTTCCTTTTGTTCTTGTCCATGGTTTCTTTTAGCTCTTTGAGCATATTTAAGACAGGGAATTTGTTGCTAGTGGACCTGTCCTACAAGAAATGCCAATGGGTGTTCTTTAGGTTGAAATTTAAGGACACTAGACAGTAATTAAAAGCCATGTGAAGAA